CACACAAACACGCACGGCTTTTTTTTTTTTTTTTTTTTTTTTCCGTGCACGTGCACGTGCAGACACACGTGCACCGTAGCAGTGCGCCACAACTATGGTCCTCGCCCTATCCCGTCTCCCCTCGTCCGCTACCCAGACTGTCACCTGCTGGAAACCAGGTCCAGGGTCCAGCAAGGCCAATGTAGACGACAGGGAGAGACGGGATAGGGCGAGGACCCCTGATAAGGTCGTTTTGTTTTCTGATTTTTCTAATCTTCCTCCCGAACAGTGTAGCCTGTGCTGGTTCCCTGATTTTTCTTTTTCTTTTGGAAATTTTCATCACAGGAGAGGAGAACTAAAAACTGTCGAAGCTGGGACACTCAAAATTTTGTGCACCGCACCGGTACCTCCCTTGCACCCAGTAGGCCAAACCGGAACCACAACCTTGTGTGTACCAGTGAAAGTGTCACTAGGCCTGCAGCATACCGGTGATTTAGACCACCACTACCATTCACCACCACCCTTGTGAGGCCTGCCCGTTTTCATCGATTGGATTGATGATCCCACGACCTCAGGTTCTTTTTTTTGTCTGGAAGGGTTGGCTTAAAGTAACAAAAGAATCAAAGAGGAAACCGGACATAAATTCCCAGTGATCCAAGATTGACCCTGTCTGTGGATCTGCATCGCAATCTCGAAGAAAGAACCCCACAGGTTCCTCTCATCAGCAGCCGCGCTGAGGCGGCATTTTCTGCCACTTGACAGAAAGTGTCTCACCCATTCATTGCCAGTCATACCTCGAGACTCCAAAGCATGAAGTCTGGCATAGCGATGTTGTTCAGCCTTCCAGGGAGGTAGGAAGTTTGAGAGAGACTTCATGGGAGAGAACTTCATGAAGACTGCTGCTGGGAGACATCCATATCTTATTTGAGACAAGATTAGTAGCTACTGCTGCCATGAAGTTGCAGTCCGTAGTGATGGTGCTGAGAGACCTAGACAGATTGTTGGTGTTGGCCTTGGAGAGACCTCCACCGACTAGTGTTGAGAGAGACTTCATGGAGAGAACTTCATGAAGACTGCTGCTGGGAGACATCCATAACTTACCTGATTTGAGACAAGAGTAGTAGCTGCCGCTGGCAATAAGTTGCAGTCTGCAGTGATGGTGCTGAGACCTAGGTCTAGACAGATTGTTGGTGTTGGCCTCAGAGTGACCTCCGTCAACTAGTGTCAGCATACAGAAGCTGGCCTTGGAGCAGCCTGTATTGCTTGACACTGCACCTCGGAAGGTCCTGACCACAGGAACTGGGCTTCATCTCGAATTATGGGCTTGCTCTTGTCAGCACCATGTCTGGGAGCATCTCCTGGTTAGCAAGATTGATAGAGGACTTTCGACTGTGGCTGGACATCTTTACAAGCTCTCTGTGAGATTTGCAAGTTTTTCTATTTATCACCATCGCTATGATTCGACTCTTTTCTCTTCCCTAGAGTGTATTACTTTGGTTCTCTTACTGACTTGACTCCATCCGAGAAACCGGTACTTGCACAGATTCATTCACACATGCACACACAAACAGAAACAGTACCGGACAAGAATCGCATGCAGGATCGGGCACAACTACCCATGGAAAACCACAGTTTGAGATATACGATGGAACAGAGGATACCCAGCTCTCTACCATCAACACAATAGAACACTGCAATACACACATGACTCAGGGTTGGCTGTCCTCCTAGTACGCAGCACAGGGTTGAGGCTGGCATAGCAGTTCCTTAGTACGGGATGTCGGGGGTGTCAGGAGATACTGCACCTCACCGCAGGGCTGGAACGGGCTCCAGGGATATACGAGGGAATGGAGGATCCCCAGCTCTCTGCCATCAAACACAATTAGTAGTAATACAGTGTAACACTGTGCACCCTCATGAAGACCTGTAGTAGCATGTTCATACCTAGCTCCCGAAGTCCCCGTGCAATCGGGCTTGCACAGCGTCTGCTTCAACCAGGGCTGAGCAGGGGGGTAGGTCTCTCTGCCTAGCCCGGGTGCCTGCAACCGCTGTCTGGTCAGGTCACCCTGCCAATATGGCAATGGGTGATGGTCCCGGGTGGTTAACACTAGGGTAGGACAGGGGGGCTGGGGGTACATCAGGCACATCTGGATGTGGGGGCCTGTGATTGGATGAAACTCGTCTGCAGCCTTTTTCTCTGGAGTAGATGGTAATCAGATGTCTAAGAACCACCTCTTCCTGCTGGTAACTGGACATCACCGTTTCAATATTGGACTCCATATCTAGGCTGGTCCCCGGGCCACCCAGCGACCTGGACGTCGCCGGGGGGCGGGAGGGGGAGCTGGCTGGTTGTGCCGCCTGGTTGGCCACCGGGCGTTCACAGCGCATGACAGGGGAGGGG